CATAAATGAGAAAAAAGAATCTAAATATCCAAAAGAGACACAGCCTTTAACTTCGGCATGGTCTGCAATTATAGAAGGCCCAGTCCATTAGACTTTTTTTTTTAAAAAAAAGTAATAATTATAAAAAATTATAATTTTAGATTAGTTCCTCTAATAGTGCACATTTGGATATTTGCAAATACATAAGTATTTGGTATTCAAATTGAATCGAATAATTACTCAAAAATGTGAATGGTATTCGAATTGAAATTTCTGATTAACAAAAATAATTGTAGTATTTACAAATAATTTGAATCGAATCGAATTTAAAAATATATATATTAAAAAGTAATTAAACTTGCAATTGCACAAAAATATTTACAAATATTTTGAATCGAATCTGAACCAAACCTAATGAGAATATAATATAATAATTAATATAAAATTTAAAATATACTAATATATTATAATCAATTCGGTTAATCACACCAAAAAAAATATTAAAAATCGAAATCGCATCGAACTGAACCGAAGAACATAAGAGAACTGTCGGCCCCGAAAATTCGCTTAAACACCTAATAGCAGCAATATCTCAACATTTAGAATAAAAACAGAAAAAAATTGAATAACACAAACTCGCTATTTGCTAGATGAGCTGATTAAGAATGCACATACTGGTGACAAAGAAGAACATAAACACAAAATAATTGTTAACTAAGTTCGCTCATCAATGAGTTATGTCTGGGGGTTCCAACTAAGGTAAGATTCACTATCAAAGCAGTCGAACCATAAAGTTTCATATATACAATTGTGATCCGTTTGGATTGACTTAAAAAATTAAACAGAAGCCAAAAGTAGTAGAAGCAGAAGTAGAAGTCAAAAGTAGAAGCAGTTCGGATTTTTATTTGGATGAATCATTATAAAAACAACTGTTTAGATGTAATAAAATTGAAAATACTTTCAAACGGTTAAAATTACGCAAAAGTATATGCTTGCAAATATTACAGATATTTTCAGTTAATCGAAAATTTTTGTTCGAATACGACTCGCAGTTTCGGATATTTATTCGATTCGATTTGATTTGGATATCAAACACCAACATATTTGCAAATAAGTGAACTGTGTCCATCCGTAATTAATACGTACACGTATAACATTCTCATTACCGTATATATAATAAAAAAACCTGGGCAACAAACAAAAGACGCTTGTGTGCATATGAAAATAAGTAGGAAGTTACAATACGTTGAGCCATGTTCTAGAAATATGGTGCATACATCTTTAAAAATTCAGTAGTATTTTTTTTTTTAATTTTATTTTATTTTTATAAATATCACATCAAATATTAATTTATTTTTTTTTTACAATTTTTAATTTTTTCAAAAGTCCAAAATTTCTAAAACTATAGTCTTATTGTGTTGGGTACGAGATTTAAAAAATATTGATATTATATTGGTAGTTGATAAAAAGTAAGAATAAATGACTTTTTTGTCCTTGTGAGTATGTTAGTGTAAAAGTAGTGGCAATTGTGTAATAATGATGAAAAAAAGTAGGGATAGTTTTACGGTGATATGGTTATTTATGAAAATGAAACTATTGTTTTAGAACAAACAAAAATGGTAAATAAGACTATTGTATTAGGACGGATGGAGTATTATGTATTTGTAAGTTGTATTTTTTTTTTAATTTTTTTATATATATGTTGTAAATTTATATACAATGTGCTGTTTAATATTTTCTCCGTCCAATTTATGTTGTTTTAATGTATATTTGCATGATTGTTAATTAATTATTTTTTATTATAAATTGACAAATTTATTATTTATGGCAAGATATAAATTAAAAGTAATAAATAAATGAAATGTAAAAAAAAGTAAAATTTATGTTTTAAAAAAATAATACTAATGGTTGGACGACTCAAATAAAAAAATAAAATATTTCATCCATCTGCCTCTAAGGGTCACATTTACGTTTTGCTTAATTGTACTTCATATTAAAAATATTCTTATATTTGTGTATATATATATATTTTTTGTATAAATGACATTTTATTAGTATTATAAGACACTAATGAAAATATTTCTGTATTTTTTTTCTTAATTTATACTACTTTTTGATATAATAATTAATATTTAAAAATTTACATGCAAAAAGTAAATGAAACATTTATAATCGGCGAAGATAATATTAGTTTATGGACGAAAAAATATATGTACTATTGTACTATTATAACAATGTTGATTTTATTTAAACAGTTCCGTAACCGTCACATGATCACATTTATATTTTGCTTTATTATATTTAATATTAAAAATATTTTTATATTTTTATAATTTTTTTTACAAACGTTCTTCTATTAGTATTATAAGACATTGATAGAAATATTTTTGCAATTTTTCTTAATTTGTACTATATTTTGATATAATAATTAATATTTAAAGATTAATACACAAAATCTAAATGAGATCTTTAAAGCCGGACGAAGGTAGTATAAGTTTTATTTATTATCTAAATTTTCTAAAAAATATATTTTTGTAAGAGTATCGTTTATATTAAAAATAATACTTTCATATTAAATTATTTATTTTTTTAATGAATATATATTATATATTATGTGAATATATATATATGTATATATTTAATTGAAAAATATGTAAAAAATTTTTTTTTATGAAAACACACACTAATGTCTAAAACTTTTTATTTTTTTATTTTTTTACTTTTTATAATTATCATATTCAACATATATTTCATAAAAAAGATATCAAAATATATTTGTATTTTAATTTTGAGGTAATATAATTTTTTGAATGAGGGCATTAATATTTTCTACTTATACAAAATTGTGAAATTGTAAGTTAAATAAATTATTATTTTTAAGTAAATGTTATTATTTGTTTATGCAAAAGGATCATGTGTTGAATTTTTAATTTCAGCACTTGTGCTAAATGCTTTTAAAAATCTATCATCTCTAATTTATATAATTAAATAATATAATTAATATAAATATATATCAGTTGTTTTTAACTATTCAAAGTGTTGAAATTAGTAATTTAGCACATGAACCTTGTTGTTTACTGATATATTTTTACTGTCATAAAAAAATATTTATTTTTTTCATAAACAATATTATCAAATTTTTTAATAAAAATTATATTAAAAAATTATATTATTTTTAATATTTTTTATGAAAAGATAAAAATACAAGTTAAAAACTGTATCAAAACACTTGAGCCTATTTATTGGTAATAAAATAATTATTTATTTTTTCATATTTGAGTAATTTAGCTTTAAATACAAATTTGTTTAGTTGTAACAAAAATTTGTATTCATTCAATAATTATTTATTGATATGTTTTTCTTTTTTTTTTTTTTAGAAATATTACTAAAAATACAAAATATATATCTATATATACACAATGTATAATATATGTTAAAGAAATTAAGAATTTTATATAAAATATTATTTTTTAAATTACTTAACATAAAAATACATATATAAAATGTACTATTTAAATATTACTCCATCTGTTCTAAATAATTATGATATATATATTTTTGTTAGTTCAATAAATTTATACATAATTTATTTATAATAAATAATTTTATATATTTATAATTTTATTATTCCATATTATAATTTTATTGTTTAATGTTTAACAAATAATCCAATTTTCTAGTTATTTTTCTATTTATTATGTTGCTTATTTATTATTTTTAAAAATATTTTTTTATAATAATCTTTTTAATTTTTACCTATTTCACTCTTAAAATTAAAATACTACTTCCACTGTCAAAGTTCAAGACTAAATTTTTTATTTGCCATTTCAGTCCGAAGTCAAAACTTTTTATATATATTTTTTTAAATTATTAACTAAATACTAAAATACCTCTATTTTTTATTTTTTCACATTATTTTTATTTTAATATTAAAGGCCAAATAAATATTATACTACTTTATTAAATTTCATATCTATAAGATACTAATATTACTTAAATTCGCGCGCAAAAGTTGAATGCGAAACTTATCACCGGACAAAGAGAATATTATTCTTTAGTTTTCTTATCTAAACAATATGACATGAAGAGTTTCAACAAAAAGAATATTTAAGTATAATTGCTAATAAATAGTATAAAAAAAGAGTTTCTTTAGAGAAAAAAATTTGTGAATATTCTGAAGTAATGCAAATTTTAAAATAATAAAAAATTAATATTTAATATAATATTTTGTAAAAAAATATTATTTAATAAAATACTTTTGTTGCAATTCAATGTATTTGTTTTATTGTTTTTGTTTATTTCACGCAAAAGTATTATAGTCTATATATAAATATCAAAATAATTTTTTTTTTTTTAAAAATATATTTTTACTTATAAAAACAGAAATATAAATATAAAATTTATATTAATCAATAAAATACTACTCTCTCTCTCCGTTTTGCATAATTTGTCTATATTTTTTTATTTCGTCAGTCCACATTATTTATCCTTTCTATTTTCAAAAATATAATTATATACTATAATCATATTTAAACTTTGAATTTTATAATTTTTTTAATTTCAATTAAACTATTTAGTTATCTTAATATTAATTTATAATTATTTTTATTAATATATTTTTTAATTACTTATTAATTATATTTTACCTAAATTATCCTATTTACAAGGGTGTGTTTGTTTGGGGGATTGGATTGAATTTACATTATTCATTCAATTTTTTTCCCCAAAATCATCAAATTAAACACATATTTTTCATTTTTTATATTATACTAAAAATCAATTTTACATTCAAAATATCACGTCATCATCTATTTATATCACATCATACAGTTATTCAAATTAAAAATTTTTAATATTCAAACGAAACGGAGAAGATATTACTACAATAAAAGCAGTAATTTTTGAAAATATTGAAATAGTACCAAACAATAGAAGTAAATTTTAAAAATATATCGAAGTAGTACCTAACATTCGAAATTGTTTGTCTAAACCCGTTGCCGTATCGGAGCATTGGTGGACAAAAACAGAACCTTGGGATGGAAACTTCACGAATCTACTTTCGAAACGGCTTTTCTGTGATCGATGCATCACATGTCGTCGCATCGTATATGTACCGTCCACTGATCCCACCCACTTATTGGTCCTTTTCCTCAATCTTGACCGCCTTTCTTTCGATTATTTTGCATAATCCTCGTCTTCCCCAGGATCCCATCGCCATTGTTAGGTAAATTCTGATCTTGATTACGTCTCCCTCTCCGTTTTATGTATAATTCATTTATTGTTTGTTTTGATGACTTCGATGATATATCTGCTGTCTGAGAAATGGAATTCGCCGACGAAATTGTCTCTTAATTGCGATTAAAAGCTTCGGTGGATTGTGTGGTTGTGTTGGTGGATATGTTCCTCTAAGAATTTTGGTATTTCACAAACCCTAGAAGATATGATTGCGAAAAATTTGGGGAGTTTGTTCAATTGCAGGATAATTTGAGTGTTGTTCTGTGTATTCGTATGGGTCATTGTGTTCAAGTAACTCTAGACATCGATTTAATCCTTCCTAAACCTCGACGTCATTAATCTTCTCTCGATAGCTCCAATTTGATCAGTAGTTCAATTGCATCAGTTTATCGAATAGTTATATCATGTAGAAGTGTTGTTTTTGTTCATTTTCATCTCTACCCTATGATTTTCAAATTAGTCGAAAATCATTTCGAAGTGAGTTATTTTGAATTGCCTATGGTGCTGTTTGTAAAACAGGTATATTGCTAATGGCTGTTGCTGAAACAGTGATGCAAGTATGCAATGGGGCTGGACCCTGCCACATTAGTTGTAATCCTCGGCTAAAATTGCAGTCATCTTCTGTTTCGCGATCTTCTGTAATATGTAAAAGGAGACGAGCTGCGACTCGTTTCAAAGTTGTCGACAGATCATATCCTCAAAGTGATATTTATTGGTTTCCTAGAGCTTCCGGCATCAATTTTGACTCCGATCGCTATTTAGGAAGTTTCAAATGCAGCTGCCAAAGAGCCGAGAGCTCGAACAGGCTAGCTTCCGATGATGGGAGCCAGAATGAAAAATTATATGTGAATAAGGCGAAAGAGTACGGTACAGGAAATGGCGACATATTCAATGTTTTAGATTCGGAGGTCAGCAGAGAGTCCAGCTCAGGAAAGGAGGGGTGTTCGCCTAACGGTAATGTTGCAAAGCATGGAGCCAAACGAGAAACCAAGCAAAAGGACGGTTCCAAATCTGTCGAGGATGAAGCATGGGAGCTGCTGAAAGAATCCGTTGTATATTATTGCGGTAGTCCTGTGGGTACGATTGCTGCGCAGGACCTGACTAGTTCCAGTGTCCAGAACTACGATCAGGTCTTCATCCGCGATTTCATTCCTTCGGGAATTGCCTTTCTGCTTAAGGGGGAGTACGAGATCGTCCGTAACTTCATTCTTCACACTCTTCAGCTGCAGGTAAAACTCTCCCATTGTTTGTGCGTTTTAGTTTTTGGATTTGGATTTTTGAATAGTAAAAAGTTGAATTTGAATAGTTGCTTGATGTGAAATAAATATAGATTGATGTGATGTTTTGAATGTAAAATAAATTCGTAGTATAATATAAAAAAAAAAGTGATTGTTTGATATGATATTTTTTAAGGAAAAAAAAGAATTTGAATAGTAAAAACCTGTGGTAAAACCCACAAAAGAATACAACCTGATTGTTTAACAAAATGTGCCCGGGCATTGCAGCAATATGATCGCTGGAAAAGTTTTAACAATGGTTAGATTTGCAGAGCTGGGAGAAAACCATGGATTGCCATAGCCCCGGACAAGGGTTGATGCCGGCTAGTTTTAAGGTACGAACAGTGCCTCTTGATGGGGATGACTCGGCTACAGAGGAGGTACTCGACCCTGACTTTGGAGAAGCTGCGATTGGTCGTGTTGCGCCTGTTGATTCTGGTACCTTTGGATGTATTTTCATCGATCAAATATGATGCGTTGATCATTTTATATCGAATGTTTTTTGATGATAATTTCAGGGCTGTGGTGGATTATCTTGTTAAGGGCGTATGGAAAATGCTCGGGGGATCTGTCGGTTCAGGAACGAGTAGATGTTCAGACCGGAATCAAGATGATCCTTAGGCTATGCCTTGCCGATGGTTTCGATATGTTCCCTACGCTGCTCGTAACCGATGGCTCGTGCATGATAGATCGCCGGATGGGAATACACGGTCATCCTTTAGAGATTCAAGTAAGTCAGGACGAGTTATTTTACGTGACCTAATAACAAATTTATTACTTAGGTACTTGTTCGGGTGAATTTGACTGCAGGCACTGTTCTATTCTGCGTTACTATGTGCTCGGGAAATGCTTGCTCGGGAGGATGGATCAGCTGACCTTACCCGAGCATTGAACAATCGCCTCGTCGCGCTGTCATTTCATATCAGGGAATACTACTGGATTGACATGAAAAAACTCAACGAGATTTATCGTTACAAGACTGAAGAATACTCGTTCGATGCTGTTAACAAATTCAACATCTACCCCGACCAAATTCCTCCATGGTTAGTCGAATGGATGCCTAACAAAGGGGGCTATTTAATCGGAAACTTGCAGCCTGCGCATATGGACTTCCGGTTCTTCTCTCTCGGGAATTTGTGGTCCGTTGTCAGCAGCCTCGCGACGTTGGATCAGTCGCATGCCATATTGGATCTTGTCGAAGCGAAATGGCTCGATTTGGTAGCGGATATGCCGTTTAAACTTTGCTATCCGGCTCTCGAAGGCAAGGAGTGGCAGATCATAACCGGATTTGATCCCAAGAACACGTACGTTATTAAAAAGATCGATCATCCTTTAGCCATTCTTTAGCCCGTCAGTTGATCATTTGATACCGTGTTATAACTTTTTCGGATATCCTTCTGCAGGCCGTGGTCGTATCACAACGGGGGTTCCTGGCCGACTCTTCTTTGGCAGGTAAACATCGTTCCCGTATGATCTACCGAGCCATTGACATTGTCGAGTATTTTAAAATACGCGACCTCATTTGCTTCTGCGCAGCTCACCGTCGCTTGCATCAAGATGAACAGACCCGAGATCGCGGAAAAAGCTGTGGAGATTGCCGAGAAGCGAATATCAAAAGACAAATGGCCTGAATATTACGACTCCAAGAAGGCCCGATTCATCGGGAAGCAGTCTCGGCTATACCAGACCTGGTCTGTTGCGGGCTACCTCGTCGCGAAACTTCTCCTCGCCAACCAGAGTGCGGCCAATATGTTGATCACCGAAGAGGACTCCGAGCTCGTTAACGCCTTCTCTTGTGCTATCAGTTCGAGTCCGAGGAGAAAGCGCCGGCACAAGAGATCCGAGAAGACTTTTATCATCTAAGGATAATACGATTAACGTTTACGGAAAGGTTAGACAGCGATGTATAGATTGAATCGACTCAAATCCGAGTATGAATGATTAGAAATACCTCGTCCGTTCGATCTTCTCGTCAAGTCCAACTACACGCAGCCTCCTTTCCGAGTATCGATTCTCTGACTTGCGAGGCTTCGTTCCACATATTCGAATCGGCGTAAACCTTAGACAGCATGACTCGAGCAGATGCATCATTCGGATCTATGGTTAAAATTTTCTGAGCAGCGTATAAGCCCAACTCCAAGTCGTTATTAGCCACGCACCCGGATAAAAGAGATCGCCAGACGACGTTATTCATACCCACGGGAGAGTTCGTCATGAACTCGTAAGCTTCTCTCGTTCGACCTTTTCGCGACAACAAAGTGACGATACAAGCGACGTGATCTGCCCTCGGTTTGACGCCGAAGTCCTTCGCCATCGAACCGAAATGGGCCAATGCGCCCTCCAAATCTCCGGTATGTCCTAAGGCAGACAATACTCCGACGAACGTGACGTCGTTTGGTCTTACTCCATTCGTCACCATAGCACCATAGATTTCCAACGCTTCTTTCCCCGATCCGTACTGCGCGTAGGCGGTGATCATCGTATTCCACGATACGATATTCTTGTTGGGAAGGATGTCGAAGACTGTCCGAGCATCTTTCAATCGCCCGCACTTAGCGTACATATCGACGAGAGCGCTTCCGACTACGATGTTAGAATCCAATCCGGGCTTTACGACGCGGCAATGTGTTTGCTTCCCCCACGCTGCTGCGGGTAACTCGCCGCATACGTTCAACAGGCTCGAAAACGTGTAAACGTTGGGCTCGAATCCATCCGAAAACATGCTCCGAATCACCATAATCGCTGCTTCGTAGCGACTCAAGTTTACACATCCCGCTATCAAAGCATTCCAACTAACAATCTCGCGCGCATCCATACTGCGGAAAACTTCGAAAGAATCATCGAGACGATCAACTTTCGCATAAAAATCCAACACCGAGTTTGAAACAAAAGTGAACGAGTCGAATCCCGCCTTTACAATCGAGCAATGAAGCTGCATTCCACCTTCGACATCCTTCTCCTTCCCGAGCGCCCCAAGTGCAGAAACAAACGTCTGCTCGTTCGGTTTTAGTCCAAAACAATGCAACTCGCGGAAAAGACTAATTGCCTCCGCATTTTCCCCGAGATGGACACAACCTCCAATTAGAGCAGTCCAAGCCGTCACATTGATTCGATTCGCCTCGCGCAATGCCCTTTTCGCCAACTCCAAATCGCCACATCGACCGTAGAAATGAACCAAATTAGTGACAACGAATTGATCCATCTCGACTCCTAGCTTGACGGCGAGGCATTGAACTTGCATTCCGAAGTCTAAAAACTCCAATGCAGCGCAAGTGCCCAACACGGTCCCGTAGGAAAACTCGTTAACGCCGACACCCATTCTTAAAGACCTCAAGAAGATCCTCAAACCTTCCTCATTTTCCCCACAACGGACGTAGCTCGACATAAGGGACACCCAACTAACTGTGCCCGGATCATGTATGGTGTCGAACACTACCCGAGCCGACCTCAACAGCCCGCATTTTCCGTAGAAATTAACCAAGCAATTCTTTACAAAGTTATTAACAGCTTCCCCTGTCCTGTAGATTCTTCCATGGATCTCTTTCCCACATGCCAATGCCTCCATTTGAGCACAAGCTGAAATGGCAGCAACGTAGGTGTAATCATTGGGATCGATTCGGCTTTCGAGAACCATTGATCTGAAGCAATTCAAGGCTTCTTCTGAGATTCCAATTTGGGAATACGAAGAGATCAGGGACGTCCAAGATACGACGTTTCTCTCAGGCATTTGATCGAACACCTTCCGGGCATAGTCAATGCAGCCGATCTTCGAATACATTGCGAGTAAATGATTATCAGTTTGGACATCCGCCCGCCGCCCCGAAAGGATGATCTGAGCATGGATTGCTTTGCCATTGATGGTCGAATTCTTCTCCGAGAATCGTCGAAGGAGGCGGGACAGTGACATGGGGAAAATGGGTTCTTGTACATTCGTGGCAAGGCCTCACAAATCACAATATTTAACACTAACAATAAATTAATGGGCTAAAAAAACACAGTACACTTGGGTGCGTTTTCATTTTTTTATTTTAATTATTCTGGGATTTATATTTATATTTAAATAGTGATTATATTTATATGTAAAGAACCTAAAAAGAAAAAAAAATCAGAAAGAACCGAAACGTAATTAGGAGTGGGCGTTTGAATAGGGTAGTTCGGGTCCGACCTCACTCGATCGGGTTCGGATTAATTGGGTCGACGTTTGGTATCCAATCAAAAAGTTGGATCGGGTATCGGATATGAAATTTTGCACCCGAAATCCAATCGGGTATCTAATTTTCTTTTTATTTAAATAATGGATGTTGTAAATTTATATTTGTATGCTAAAATCCTTTTATATCACTATATATATTATACTTACACGAGAATTTATAAGGAGTATAATTCGTAAATAATTAATAATATATTATGGAAATTTCATAAAATGAAGACGAGATAAATAAAGACACAAGAATACAATAATTTAGTTACCATTTCGATCAAAATGATCTACGTCTGAGAGTGCTGTTAAATTAAAAATTTTACTATGATATACGCAGACACATTAAATTGAAAATACTTGATATTTATAACCTAGCAAACCGTAGGACCATACCAATTATATCTCGAAATCTAAGATTTAATATGAAAATCATATCCCTATAGTTTAGGATATAATCACGCTTCATATCCCAACAATTTCGCACTTGAAAACTGACATCTCTCACCTTCATATTTTACTTCATCCGCGATGACAGTGTCAAGCCTATTTCTTCACTCATCGAGGCCAATTGAGGTTGAAACCTCAATTCATCTAAGGTCATCACCTTAGGTTGTCTTTCAAAATTGTTCATAAATCGGATCACTACTCCCACTGCACGTGTTTTTCACCTCATAAAGGTATCAAAAGCATCGTATTTACGCTTAAAGATATATACCCATGCATTCCTTGTAGTGTTGTCAATGAACACAGTGTAGTACTGCGAATCTTCAAAGATCAATACAAGAGAGCCCGTATGGACCAACTCCAACTTTTCATTTTCCAGGTCTCTCGTACCTTTTAAGAACGCTACCTTTCGTTGCTTCCCAAAGATACAGTCCTCGCATACTCAAATATCGACTGACATGAGACTTGACAATCTTCCATTTGAAACGAGTTCCCTTATCCCCTTCTTACTCATGTGTTTGAGACGAGAATGACATAAATTTGTGTCATTATTTATGGCCACAGAATTGATTTTGTTTCGCATGCCTTTCGTCATGTAGAGAGTTTTATATCTTCTCCCTTTGAGCCATCATAATGGATCCCTGGGTTACCTTCCATGACCTAATTTTAAAAACTGTCTAGTAACCCGCCTCGTCCAATTGTCCAACAGAAATCAGATTCCGTTTCAAACCCGGGATAAGTCTCATGTCATTCAGTCTCCACTCCCTACTATTTGGTATTCTGATTCGAACAATTCCTTTACCTACAACTTTCAATGGTTTATCATCTGCAAGATAGACAGCACCAAAATTACTTACGGTATACGATTCTATGATTCTCAAATCACTACATGAGTGGAATGACGCTCCTGAATCCGAAATCTATAACTCCATTGGACTGCTGACGCTCGGAATCAGCACATCGGATATCTCCTCCGCAATGTTTGGCGAAACCCTTTTCCTTCCCTTGCCACATTGCACCGCTTATCAAAAGGACCCACTTCCTAACCTATCACAACTGTCGGGACCGACACAGCACCGCCAGGAGACATTCGACACAAGGCACCTCCACAGGTCACGAGGGATTCTCACAACCACAACCAATGTCCGATGCTTCCGAGTCCACCCTACCAACGAATAGATGTGATGTTTTTGTGGGATGAAATAATTGTCATCAATGTGATATTTATTTAAAAACAATTACTATTTATAAATAGTATCAAAATTTTTAAAAATACTATTTTTATTATTTTTGTCTCTTCCATTAAAATATATATATTTTCAAGTTTAGTAAAAATAATTATACATTAATACCAAAATATCTTTAATTTTTACTTAAATTACAAACGTACTATTACAAATATAATTATTTTAGACATAAAGTCAGTCGGCAAATATGTATAGATCTCTTAAACATTTTTATTAATTAATAAAATATTATTATTTTTAATCTACTATAAAACTCCAAAATAAATACTTTAGAGTGTGATAGAATATATGTACACATAATTAGTCCCTTAAGTTCGTCCATTCCTCCGCTTTCGCAATCGTATCTATTCTCCATCCCACATCCAGTAGCCCACGCTCCATCGACATTGGGGACCTAACTACCTAATCTGTCTTCCCTGGCCGAGGAGTGGCCAATCGCAAGCTCTAGTGGCCAAGGAAGGGAATGAGATGAGTGTGTTCACCGTAATAGGTGACGACGAATTTTTCCGCTTCCATTGCATGTTGTTCCACTTTCCGTCTCGCGGCACCAACCGACGAAATGCAATTTTTTTTTCTTTAAACAACAAACGATGATTTTAAGGTTTCATGTAATATAATGAATTTTATTACAACTTGTTAGATTTTCTAATGTTAAAAAAGAGATTCTTGATAAGGAGATCCTTTGATGGACTTTTGCCTGATTTTCCGCCATGCCCACGATTCGGCCATTAGTTTTTTCAAACTTTTCTCCACCACAATGTCTTGCTTGTGGGGTTTGTTGCAACATTCAAACATTACTTGAGCTCTTTATGCACTAAATGTTCACTCGTAATGATCAACTACTTAAGAGTATGTTTTGTCAAATTGTATTCGGAAGTTAGATTTAAAATTATTTATTTATTATAATAGATTTGATTTATAATATATTATACTCATTCTATCGTCAAAATTTTGTCAACTTTTATTTTTGTTGTATGTTTAATTTATATATACTTTATGGCGGAAGCTACGGTGCTGAATATTTAATGCTGAATAAATTCAGCACTGCGTCGAACAATATACAATGTGCTAACAAACAATATACATATTACTATTGGCAGCACATAAATATTAGTATAATACAAATACAATAATGAAGTAACAATAGATAATATAGTCTTACATAACACATCCATAATTTGATTTTAACACATGACACACTCTTATATAGCACATATTGTAATTATGAATAACATATATCTATATTACAAACAACATATGTTGTGTGTAATAAAGTCATATGCCATTTCTATTTATTTATTTAAGAGAAAATTAACAATATAAATATTTTTGTAATATTTAGAAAAAAAATAAATTCACGACTACAGCGTCAATTTCAACTGAAACGGTAGCCAAACACACTTAAAGTTATTACCTTTTTTTATGACGGTTGGGCTGCCGAGGATACAGCAGCCGGAATGATAGGCAGCCCTGCCGTGGCGGCAGGGGCATTATTCTGAAATTCAAAGTTATTTTCGGGAATTTGGACGGCTGTCAACGTCGGGGAAAAGTTCGGCTGCATTGTCACACCAAACTGATTTTGTTGAAATTGATCGAAATATTGCATACATGCCGGCAACGGCGGAAGCAATGAATATAATTGAATTGGCGGGAGTTCTTCAGCCCCCACCGGTGGCGGGGATCCAAGACACATTTCTTGATACGCTTGGCACCAGCTCGAGATAGTGTTGTCACTGACAAAAAAAATCGTCGTTGTTATTTTCAAAAACTTTTTTTTGATGAATAGTTGGTATAAGAATTTTGACAATAATCTGCCGGATTGTCATTGTGGTGTGTGGCAGCTCTGGCGCCATTCACCACCGCAAAAAGACTCCAATCATCACCATTCATGTTGAAGATCGTAAGATTTAATTTCAAGGAAAGTGAATTATAAATTATATATATTATGAGACAATAGAAATGATTATGAAAAGTTGTTCGAATATATAAAGAAATATTAGAGATACGAGTTGGTGGGGTTTGAATTCTTTTTGCCGTTTTAAAATTTAGATCAAATTTTATTTATACCTTCATATAAGATGATAAATATTTTTCTATCCATGAAAAATTGTATTCAATAAAACGATTCATTAATTAGATATTTTAAAGTTCAAAATATAAGACTTTATTTATGTATATAGTTTTGAAAGTTTTTGCACTATTTATGAACATAGATTTTTTTTTTTTTTTTTTTTGTTTTTAAATGTCACATCAAATATTTATTTACTCTAATCAAACATCACATTTATCAAATATCTAATTTTTTGCATTCTTAAAATTATTCAAAACTTCTAGCACTCTTGTTCCCATTGCTTCAATTTTTATTGAGATTTATTTATGAGTTAAAAATATATCCAATTGATATTGTAACAAACAAAAACGGGGAAAAAAAAATTGAATACATAGATATAGGAATATCTCGTGTGTGTGTGTGTGTTTTTTTTAATTAATATAATTTGTGAATGGTCATTTATAAAATTTACTTAATTGAAGAGATATGTTCGTAGATTTGTATTAACTTACACATATAGGGAAAGTTGTAATAAATATTTTGTATCTATAAATAATGATTATTTTTACTTTTTCAATTATCATCATAATAAAATATATTTTACAAGTGTTATTTTTTTGCAATTTTTATCATCCATAGCACAATTTCATTCGCACCGCATCGTCATCAACTTGATGCGCGACTAGATGACAAAAATCGCCAAAAAGTGACACATGTAAGATATATTTTATCAGAATGACAATTAAAAGACAAAAATAATTATCTAATTCCTAGCTTAAAAATTAATTAATTTTTTTTAGCATTTTGGCGTTTATGGACTCTAAACAACTTTTACAAAAAAATTCGCTGATTGGCCTGTACCTTGTTTGGATGAACCGTGCGAATTTCGTTCAATTTCTTGTCCAAAATTTGATTAATACTTTTTTTAGTGTTTAGAATTTTTAGGGTCCAAAATGACATCGGATCGACAAAAAAAATATTTATGGTTGGTTCGTTTGGTCGTTTTGAATGAACCTTGCAAATTTTGTCTAATTGCAGGTATACAAATGAGTTTATGTTTCATTTGGTCGTTTTTGATAAATTGTGCAGATTTCGTTCAATTTAGATTCTATAAATAAGTTTACATTTCTTTTATTTATTTATTTTATTTTTTTTTGCGTTCAGGGTATTTAGGGCCTTATACGGTCTCTGATGGACAAAACAATATGGCTGATTGGTTTATTTGGTCGTTTAGGATGAAACGTGTGAATTCCCTTCAATTTCAAGTTCAAAAATGGTTTTATATTGTTTTAGCATATACAAATTTTAAGGGTCCCCGAAAGACTTCGGGTAGACAAAACAATATTATTGGTTGATTTGTTTTGTTGTTTCGGGTTAACCGTGCAAGCTGTAATTCTGAATTTAAAGATAGATGTATTTATATATATATTTTATCATTTAGGATTTTAGGTCCTTAAATAATCTTGGATGGACAAAACAATATTGTTGGTTGGTTCATTTGGTTATTTCAGATGAATTATGCGAATTTTTCTCAAATTCCAAATTTAAAACATATTTATTTTTTTTAAAAAAAAAACTTCACCGTGAAAAATATATTCTATGTGTCAGGTTTCGCAATTTTCATCATCCGTAGCAAAGTCCCACTTCATACACGTGAGATTGTATCCGACGTGAACTAGACTCACAGCTAGATGACAAAAATTGCAAAAAAGTAACAACTGTTATATATATTTTGTCAAAATAACTATTAAAAAAAGAGTGAAAATTTTCTATTACCATTTTTCCAACATAGTATATGATACTTTATATGTTTTGATTTGTTTGGTGCCTCCGCCACAAATGTATTTATTTATTTTTTCATTTTTTAAAATAATATATTTTTATAATTCAACATATTTATAATTAATATATATTTTTAACATTTCTCACAAAAGGAGGTAGTAATAATATTTTATTTTTTTGTTATCCAAATTAACCGTGGGTTTTATAATCAGCCTTCTTAATAAGCCCACCAAATAATATCTTTTAATTTTAATTAAACAATAATTTTAAAAATAAAATGTAGATAGTTAGAGACAATTAATAGTAAATATTGTTTGTGAAAGTACTAATATAAAATATATGATTATTATTTTTTAATATACAATACCATGCAAAACAAATCATTCCATCACGATTTATCTACCTCAATTACTAGTTAGATAAGATATGGTGCTATATTTTCAATTTATGTACAATATTTGTGTTATATTTAAACATAAAGTTGCTTTGAATCCACACTACAAAAAAATAATAATATATTTTCTAACGGAATTCCGTCCCTAATGTTCACGTAACTAACGTAATTCCATTCTTGATTCCGTCTCTAATGTCATTAGTAACGAAAAAAAATAGATTTAGAGACAAAAAAATTTTTGTTACAAAAATAATTTTTTCTTGTAGTGCCAGTGCATGCATGCAAATGCGAAATAACATATAGTATTTTATTGGAACATTTAGTACGTGTTATATATAAATATTATTACACGCAATAAATAAATAATGTACATGCCAGTTACAAATTATTGTATATAGTATGTTTTGCAATATTTTGATAGGATAATCTTGTTTTTGGATAGTTTATTGAGATTTATTTATTGAGTTAAAAATATATCTAATTGGTATATTGTAACAAACTATAAAAGAAACTAAATACACAGAGATAAGAATATCTTATATGTTTAAATTTAATTAATATAATTTGTGAATGGTATGTTGTAACGAATGCTATAAAAGAAAAATCAAAAACAAAAAATAGTCAACAAATAAAATTATGTGATTTACCGACTGAGGCTTTAGCTATTTCAACGAGAGAATTAGAATAATTCTATTAGGGTTTCAGTGAAAGCCCTCTTCAAGAAGAGAGAAGAAAGACTGTACATTCACTCATTCACCGTTAAGCACAGAATCATCAAGAAAAGAATCACCCACTCACTCATGGAATTTACTGCTCGTCCACGCGTAAGTTCTCTTCCCTTAATTAATTAATCTCCATTTCTAATCACATCCATCTTTAATTTTACAAATTCATCACTGGACGTTTTATACTTCTTTTAATTTCATCGATCGATCTTGTATAAGTTTCAGTATGCTTTATTAATTCCCACATTTTGATTGCTAAATTTTGATCTGCTTCTTGATGTGTTGTGGAGGCGATCGAGGGATCCTTAAAATTTTTTGAAATTATATCTTTAGACTATGTTGATCTTATTCCGAAACATTGCCCAATTTTTCTTGTCGAAATGCTCGTTAAATTTTAGGCTTATATCGACGAACTTATTCGCTCTGTTATGCATTGTAGCATCCTGTCTATGACAACGACGAGCCGCTGCCCCTTAATCGCCGTCCTCTCATTCCATCGGCTTCCTTACCAAGGGTCCGTGTCGAGGGAATTCCCGATACCCCGGTAGTCATTTCATTTGAGCAGCCGAACTATTTTCTTATTAAGGTAACGGCGCCATCGATGTCAGAGTATGGCGAACACCCCCTCCGGCGAGCTCCTGTGGATCTTGTTATGGTGCTCGATTGTATGGTTAGCGAAGGCGGATTGGTAACTGTGGATCATCTCACAAGTGCTGTTGGATTCGTTATCGATCAAATGTGCCCCTGGGATAGGCTTTCGATTGTGTCGCCTTGCCCCGAAGAAGAGAGGAATAATTTTCCCCTGCGCAGAATGACCGATCAAGGAAAGGAAGATGCGAAAAAAGCTGTTGGTTCGTTTAACTTTGCGACTGATCAGACAGACGACGTCGCGGAAATTCTGTCAAGGGGAGCTCGGGTTCTTGAGAGAAGGCGCTGCCAGAATCAAGTCGCGTTCATTATACTCGTGTCTAATATAAAACAGTCGGATCCGGAGATGGATCGAGAACTGGCTGTAGCATACCTCGATGGACTACCGTTTTCGATCTATCCGTTCCGTCGCCAAGGAGCTATCGACAATTTCTTCAGTCCACCCGTATATCCTATTTACGCATTCGGCATTGGCTTAGACCACGAACCTATTTCGCTGCTCACGCTATCTTCACTAACAGGCGGAAATTATTCGTCGTTGGACACGCCCGAGATCCTGAAAGATGCGATCGCCTGTCGGATCGGAGCCCTCCTCAGCGTAGTCACGTTAGAATTTAGTCTAAGGATTGTTCGACTTATTTCTGGAGTTACGATTCGAGATGTCCACGCCGGAATCTACCATAAATTCATCAGCGGTATGGACAGATCGATAGCTGATATAAAAGTCGGGAGCCTCTCCGCAGACGAGGTGAAAGAATTTCTGATCAAAGTGACTCTCCCTACGCATCTGGAGTGGCGGCGGGAAGAACCGTGCTTAAACATTTCGTGGACATACAAAGATGCGGTGTCGTTTACGGGGAGGGAAGAGCAATTTTTTGACACACTAAGGGCGCATCGTCTGTTGCATCCGCTTCCTTCAAGAACAAACGCCGAAAGCGAGGCTGTTACGCGCCAAAAGATGTGTTCTTTTGGCTCGCGGTCGATTTGTGAATCTCTCTTATTGGCGGACAAAGGAGAGGTGGCGGCTGCAAGGAACTATCTGTTGGAGCGAATAGCGGCAATGTCCTTTCAGAAAAGTATCGAAAGTGACGACGCTTTGTGTCTGTGGCTCTTTGACGAGATGCGCGAAGTGGCGGGGAGAATGGCCGGGGGTTTGCAATCGTATAAATATGGCGGGCTAGCTTATGCCCTGTCGACTATGAGTTCATGCGATACACAGAGGATGACGACTATCGGAAGCCGAGTCCACGGCGCGGATGATATCCCGTTTCAACCGTACGGGACGCCGAATACGTTGGAGATGCTGAGGAGGTCGAGAGGAGGAGTACAAGGTTAGATCGATCGATCGATCAGCTATATGTAGACATAATTAGTCCCTTCCGCTTTTCTTCTGGCGGCACAACCACCGTAAACAATGCAACGAAAGTATATCCCACATGCCTTTTCATTTAAACAACAACCGAGGATTTTAAAGTTGGGAAAATTGCAAAAACTATGTCATAAGTATATCCCATTATCATTTTTGTTTTGTATTTATCTCGCTCGCAAAATATATCCTACATGTTTGCAAAAGTCGTTATTTATATCATTTAACCACGCGCGGCCAAAGGATAGATATAACGACTTTTACAAATATATAAGATATTTTACTAGCGAGATATATGACAAGAGTGATGACGAGGTATATGTGATATCATTTGATAGACTTTTTGTCCGACTTTGCGCCATACCTGCTATTCGGTCATTAGCTTTTCCAAACTTTCCTCTACCACAATGCCTTGCTTGTGGGGTTTGCAGCAACATTCAAACACTGCCTGAGGGAGGGGATCTTCAGTATCATCCCCTCCTTGTCCACACACACCTATGTATAGATACATGAGTGTGTATATATACCTATGTATCTATATATGGATGTGTGATGATGCTGAAAATGGAGCAGAGAGAGGTGATGCTTAGGATCCCCTCCCCTCTCTGAGTTCTTTATGCACTAAATATTCACTGGAAACAATCAACTGTTTAAGAGTATGTATTTTCATATTGTAGTTGGAAGTTAGATTAAAATTTATTTATTTAATTAGTATTTGATTTATAATATATTATACTTATTCTATGTGAAAATTATGTCAATTTTTATTTTAAAATAGTGGAACAATATCCAATGTGCTAACAAACAATACAATATTACTATTGACAACATATCATTTATATTAATATAATACAAATACAAACACATATGCAATAGTTGATTTTAGCACATGACACATTTTTATACAACATGCGTTGTAATTATGAACAAACAATACATGTTGTGTGTAATAAAGATATTTATTGTGTGTAATAAAAATATGTGTTATTTTTATATTTTACGTGCACTGATCCAAATTAGTATCGTAACCCTTCTCATAGTTTATTTATGGTAAAATATTTTATCAAATCACAATTTTATTACTTTTTACTCTAAAAAGTATTAAGTGTTTTATCCCTATTTTTTCTATTGACCTTATTAAATTTTTTTGTCATCTTTTTCATAAAATATTTATATACACTTGCGTTACTTTTTTTTTAATCTATTTTATTTTTGTTGGGACCTCCGTTTGCGGATATATGATTTAATAGTTGGGTTTCCGTAACCGTTTGCGCTTTTAGATGAGACAACTCATGCAATTTTATCCGATAGAGGAGTATATATGATTAAAAGTTCTAAATATGTATTTAAGTGTTTTTAAAAAAAATTATTTTAATAAAGTATATATGAATATTATTTTGTAAAAAAAAATAAAAAAATAATATAATAAAAATAAATAAAAAAACATATTTATATTTGATTAATATAAAATAATTTTAGAAAATGAGAAATTTGAATCTATATAAATATATTAAAATTTATAAATATATTTTCAAAATATATTTATATTTTGAAAATGAGGATGCGTGTTGGAGATGCTGCCGTTTCCTAACAGTTCAAGATTTCAGGTAAGACTGTTATTCAAACATCCAATAACTTTTATATTAAAATATTATTATTTTTTAGTACATGTACTTGGACAAACTGATGCAATTTTATCCAATTGAGGACTATATATGATTAAAAGTTTTAAAGATGTATTTAAGTGTTTTTAAAAATATTAATTGAATAAAATATATACAAATATTATTTTGTAAAAAAAAAATTATATAATAAAAATAAATACAAATATATTTATATTTGATTAATATAAAATAATTTTAGAAATTTTGAATCTATATAAATATATTTATCTATTTAAGAGAAAATAAAAAAAAATATACATAAAATTTTGTGTAGGTCCACATGTAATACATAGAAAAAAAATAAATTGCGACAATAGCGTCAATTTCAACTGAACTGGTAACTAAACATACTCAAAGTTATTACCTTTTTTTATGACGGTTGGGCTGCGGAGTATACGGCAGCCGGAAGTTGATAGGTAGCCCTGCGGTGGCGGCGGGGGCATTATTTTGAAATTCAAAGTTATTTTCGGAAATTTGGACGGTTGTCAACGTCAAGGCAAAGTTCGGCTGCATTGTCATGCCAAACTGATTTTGTTGGGATTGATCGTGATATTGCCTACACACCGGCAGCGGCGGCAATAGTGAAGAAAATTGAATTGGAGGGAGTTCTTCGGCCCCCAACTGTGGCGAGAGCCAAGGCACATTTCTTGATAGGCTTGGCACCACCTCGATCGAGATAGTGTAGTCATTGAAAAAATATTGTCGTTGTTAATTTTCAAAAATATTTTCCGCTGAATAGTTGGCATGAGAATTTTGACTAAAATCCGTCGGATCGTCATTGTGGTGTGTGGCAGCTCTAGCGCCATTCACCTCCGCAGAAAGACTCCAATAATCGCCGTTCATTTTGAAGATCGTAAAATTTAATTGCAAGGAAAGAGAACTATAAATTATATATTATGAGACAATGATAATGTTATGGACAAATGTTCGAATATATAGAAAAATACTAGAGATACCGGGTTGGTGGGGTTTGAATTCGTTTTGCCGTTTTAAAAATTAGATCAAATTTTATTTATACCTTCATAGAAGATGATAAACCATTTTCTACCCATTGGAGTATTTAATCAAATTCTTTTGGTGTTTGAATAAAATATATGCAATAATAATATTTTTATTAAATCTATAGAAATGGACAATTACTTAAATTTTAAATTTTTTATAAATACTATATAATAAAAATATAAAACTAAAATAATTAGGGAGTCCAGCGCCCTTGGGCCCCCACTAGCCACGCCGCCCCTCTAGAGGCCAAGGCGGGGAATAAGATGAGTGTGTTCACCGTAATAGGTGACGACGAATTTGTCCGCCTTCGTTGCATGTTGTTCCACTTTCCGTTTGGCAGCACAACCTCTGTAAGCAATGCAACGGAAGTATATCCTGCACGTTTGTTTAAAACAACAAATGACGATTTAAGGTTCCATGTAATGTACTCTCTCCGTTATAAAAAAATTGTGCTAATTTTCTTTGTTTTTTACAGACGAAATGAGCACAAATTTAGATGACAAGGGTAGTAATGAATTTTATTACAACTTGTTAGATAGCGCATTCTAATATTAAAAAAAGAGACCTTTGATGAGGAGATCCTTTGATGGACTTCTGCCCGACTTTCCGCCATGCCCACGATTCGGCCATTAGCTCTTCCAAACTTTTTTCCACCACAATGTCTTGCTTTTGGGGTTTGCTGTAACATCCAAACGCGGCCTTAGCTTTTTATGCACTAAATAGTCTCTTGAAACTTATTTAAGAGTGTGTTTTGTCAAATTGTAGTTGGAAGTTAGATTAATATTTTTTATTTAATTAAGATTTGATTTATGTAGTATACTAATGCTATATCTGAAATTATACTAGCTTTTATTATTATTTTTATTTATTTATTTATTTTATCTCCGTTAAACCAATATAGAATTTTATTTTTTTTATAGTAAAATAATTTATCAAATCACAATTTTATTGTTTTTTACTCTAAAAATTAATAACTATTTTTCCACTACTTTTTCTATCGACATTAATTTTAATTTTTATCAACTTCTTAGTACATTTTTACAATACATTTTATTTTTTATTTATCCCACTTTCATATTAAAGTATTATTAGTTTTTAGTATCCCTACTTGGACAAAGTGATGCAAATTTATCGGACGTGGGAGCCTATATGTTAAAAAATTTAAATATTTACTTAAGAATTTTTAAAAATATTATTTTAGTAAAATATACGAATATTATTTTGTAGAAAATTAAATTTTATATAATATAAATAAATAAAAATCTATTTATATTTGATTAATATAAAATAATTTTATAAGAACTTGAGGAGTTTCGAATCTATATAAATATATTTATTTATTAAAGATAAAATTAGAAATACAAAAAAATCAGGACTATAGTGTCAATTTCAACTAAACCGGTAACCAAACACACTCAAAACTAGTTATTACCTTGTTTGACGAAGGTTAGGCTGCGGAGGATACGGCTGCCAGAAGTTGATAGGCGGCCCTGCAGTGGCAGCAGCAGCGATGGCGGCGGGGGCATTATTATGAAATTCAAAATTATTTTCGGGAATTTGGACGGCTGCCAATGTCGGGGAAAAGTTTGGCTGCATTGTCATACCAAACTGGTTTTGTTGAAATTGATCGAAGTATTGCCTACACTCCGGCAATGGCGGGAGCAATGAAGATAATTGAAATGGTGGGAGTTCTTCGGCCGCCACCGGTGGCGGGGAGCCAAGACACATTTCTTGATACGCTTGGCACCAGCTCGAGATAGTGTTGTCACTGACAAAAAAATCGTCATTGTTATTTTCAAAAAAATTTTCCGATGAATAGTTGGCATGAGGATTTTGACTAAAATCCGTCGGATCGTTATTGTGGTGTGTGGCCGCTCTGGCCCCATTCACTACCGCAAAAAGACTCCAATCATCGCCATTCATTTTGAATATCGTAAAATTTAATTTCAAGGAAAGTGAATTATAAATTATATATATTATGAGACGATGAAATGATTATGGAAAAACGTTCGAATATATAGAGAAATATTAGAGATAGGGGTTGGTGGCGCTTGAAAGTTTTTTGCCGTTTTAAAATTTGGATCAAATTATATTTATACTTTCGGATAAGAGGATAAGACATTTTTTACCATGGAAAATTGTATTCAATAAAACGGCTGATAGATTACATATTTTAAGGTTCAAAATATAAGATTTGTTTATGTATATAGTTTTGAAAGTTTTTGCACTATTTATCAATTTAGAATTTTATTTTTAAAAAAATATCAAATATATATATATTTTTTTGTATTCTTAAAATCATTCAAAACTTATAACACTCTTTGTGTGATCATAATTTGTGAATTAATAAAATAATAATAATAATAATAATAATAATAATAATAATAATAATAATAATAATAACAAAAATAATGACGCGGCAAATCCTATGCTTCTCCCAATATATGTTTATATATATATATCTCAACATATGTTGTATTATAAGATAACATATGTCTGAATTATAGTATAATATAATATATAATATATTATAGATATGTATAAATATTGTCGATTATCCCCATAGCCTTGTCGATCCGATTAAATCAGCACCATACTGACTTCACATGTTCTAGCCCAATAATAATATATAGATTCTTGAATTTGTAATAACTTGGATATGGTTTGATGAAAATAATTATTCTCATTGCTTCAATTTTTATTGAGATTTATTTAGTTAGTTAAAAATATATCTAATTGGTATTGTAACAAACTAAAATAGAAATAAATTAAATACAGGGAGATACGAATATCTTATGTGTTGTTCTCTTTTAATAAATATAATTTGTGAATTGTCTTGCGACAAATGCTATAAAGAAAATCAAAAACATAAAATAGTCTGACAAAACAAAATTATGTGGTTCACTAAGTGAGGCATCGACTATTACTACAAGAGAATTAAAATAATCTTAGCAGAATTTCAGAATGCGAGCACAATTAAAGTTAGTCATAATAGATATTTAAGCTTCGAAATACCGAATTTCAGGGATTCCCACATGGTTATTGATAAAATTTTCTACTTAATTGAAGAGGCATATGTTCATAAACTAGCCGCTACCCGAAAGTGCACATTGGGTGAACCCTTGGTCGAATCTAATATCCTGTAAACTAAGTCCGACGAAAATGTCACACTAGGCGAACCATGTGTGGCAGGTGATCTGAGGGGTCGGGGGTTTGAACATTTGTTTGGCGGCTCCTCCCTAATGTATTTGTTTCTTAAATAACATTTTTATAATTCAAACATATTTAATTTACAATAGTTTTTTTTTTTTTAAAATAAAAGAAATCTTGATATATTTGTCACGTTAAATTAATTTCTCTACTTTTATTATTATTATCTTATATAAACAGTTGGATGAGCGTAGTATATATGATCAGTCTGATCGTTATTTGAACAGAATTAATCAAAGCGAAGTGAAAGCCCTTTCCAAGAAGATAGAAGATAGACTGTACATTCACTCATTCACAGTTAAGCACAGAATCATCAAGAAAAGAATCACCCACTCACTCATGGAATTTACTGCTCGTCCACTCGTAAGTTCCCTTCCCTTAATTAATTAATCTCCATTTCTAATCACATCCATCTTTAATTTTACAAATTCATCACTTGACGTTTTATACTTCTTTTAATTTCATCGATCGTTCTTGTATAAGTTTCAGTATGCTTAATTAATTCCCACATTTTGATTGCTAAATTTTGATCTGCTTCTTGATGTGTTGTGGAGGCGATCGAGAGAGCCTTAAATTTTTTCGAAATTATTTCCTTAGACTATGATGATCTTATTCCGAAACATTGCCCGATTTTTCTTGTTGAAATGCTCGTTAATATTAGGCTTATATCGACCAACTTATTCGCGTTGTTATGCATTGTAGCATCCTGTCTACGACAACGACGAGCCGCTGCCCCTTAATCTCCATCTTCCCATTCCATCGGCTTCCTTACCAAGGGTTCGTGTCGAGGGAATTCCCGATACCTCGATAGTCATTTCATCTGATCCGCCGAACTATTTTCTTATTAAGGTAACGGCGCCATCAATGTCAGAGTACGGCGAACACCCCCTCCGGCGAGCTCCTGTGGATCTTGTTATGGTGCTCGATTGTATGGTTAGCGAAGGCGGATTGGTAACTGTGGATCATCTCACAAGTGCTGTTGGATTCGTTATCGATCAAATGTGCCCCTGGGATAGGCTTTCGATTGTGTCGCCTTGCCCCGAAGAAGAGAGGAGTAATTTTCCCCTGCGCAGAATGACCGATCAAGGAAAGGAAGATGCGAAACGAGCTGTTGGTTCGTTTAACTTTGCGACTGATTATACAGACGACGTTGTGGAAATTCTGTCGAGGGGAGCTCGGGTTCTTGAGAGAAGGCGATGCCAGAATCAAGTCGCGTTCATTATACTCGTGTCTAATATAAAACAGTCGGAACCGGTGTTAGATCGACAACTGACTCTAGCATACCTCGATGAACTACCGTTTTCAATCTATCCGTTTAGTCCCCAAGGACCTATCGACGATTTCTTCCGTCGACCCGTATATCCTATTTACTCATTCGGCATTGGCTTAGACCACGAACCTTTTTCACTGCTCACGCTGTCTTCACTAACAGGCGGCAATTATTCGTCGTTGGACACGCCCGAGATCCTGAAAGATGCAATCGCCTGTCGAATCGGAGCCCTCCTCAGCGTAGTCACATTAGAATTTAGTCTAAGGATTGTCCGACTTATTTCTGGAGTTACGATTCGAGATGTCCACACCGGAAGCTACCATTATTTCATCGGCGGCATGGACAGATCGATAGCTGATATAAAAGTCGAGAGCCTCTCTGCGGACGAGGTGAAAGAATTTCTGATCGAAGTGGCTCTCCCTACGAATCTGGAGTGGCGACGGGAAGAACCGTGCCTAAACATTTCGTGGACGTACAAAGACGCGGTGTCGTTTACGGGGAGGGAAGAGCTATTTTGCGACACACTAAGGGTGCATCGACTATTGCATCCGCTTCCTTCAAGAACAAACGCCGAAAGCGATGAAGTTATGCGCCAAAAGACATGCTCTTTTGGCGTGCGGTCGATTTGTGAAGCTCTCGATATGGCGGAAAGAGGAGAGGTGGAGGCTGCAAGGAACTATCTGATGGAGCAAACAGTGGAAATGTCCTTTGAGAGAAGTATCGAAAGGGACGACACTTTGTGTCTGTGGCTGTTTGACGAGATGCGCGAAGTGACGGGGAGAATGGCCGGGGGTGTGCCATCGTATAATCTTGGCGGGCTAGCTTATGCGCTGTCGACTCTGAGTTCGTGCGAGACACAGAGGATGACGACTATCGGAAGTCGAGTCCACGGCGCGGATGCTATCCCGTTTCAGCCGTACGGGACGCCGAATATGTTGGAGATGCTGAGAAGGTCGAGAAGAGTACAAGGTTAGATCGATCGATCAGCACCCATTGCATCCACATTCGATTGTAGAACATATATGAACTTGTCGAAACGAAAAATTTTATGTTCCTTTATGTACTACTAATGATGCATAGGATATATAGACAAAGATTGAAAGATATTTTTGAAGCAGTGTTCTTTTTTTCTTTTTTTTTCACTATATAGACACTTGTGTCTATCGATTATAGATTGTCACTTGCTCCTATCATAGAAGTGTGATTTAAAGACTAAAGTCTCTCTTTTTTTTCTTTTTTTTTTTTTTTTTTTTTTTTTAATTATGTAGGAATTCGCCGCCGCTATCCGAAAATGCTTTGGGTAAACCCTAAACCTCCGGTCGAACCTAAACCCTAAACCCTAAATCCCCGGTCGAACCTAATACCCTGCAAACCAAGCCCGACGGAAAAGTCACACTAGGCGAACCATGTGTGACAGGTGACCTGACGCGGGACAAACTCAATGGTCTCTTTCTTCCTCGTATGTAAGATGTAACAATTATCTTTAATTACTCTTATTCCTGTATGTATTTTCTAGCATTTTTAAGTAGTTTAGTTGATCCATTGCAAAATATTATTTTTGTGTCGCATCCAAATCTATGCCTAATTTTCTTTTTTCTAATTGGTAAGTTTGAAATGCACTAGCTATCACTCATACTCACTCAATTCTAAAATAAAATAAAATCGAATATCAAGAGAAAATCCTATGTAAATGTCATTGTTCATGTTCTGACAAATTTAAATCATTCTGAATCAGATCAGTAAACACACAAAATTCAAGAACAAGAGAATCGAAAAATTAGAGGCGTTTTTGAGTTACTTTTTTCGCAGCTTTGAGACGAAATCTAGCAGAGGAAGGTACATAGTAAAGCTCAATATTCAGCACAGAGGCATAGACGAAGACTGAATTAGAGCCGTGGGAACTAACTTCGACTTCGAGAGAATGATCACAGACAAGCTTCGTACAATTTAGTATAATTTCAACTAATGTAAAATAGTATAAAATATATAATCTTATCGAGGCACTAACATTAGCATTGAACAATTTTTTATTATTATTTAAAAAAAAATAATTTTATAGCAAACTGTCGGGGTGGAAACTCAATACCACATTGAAAGTTGTGAAAAAAATCCATGAATTTATAAGTACACATGAACTTCACTAATATGAGATCTTTTGGAGTAAGTTCAAAAATAAATTTCTACGAGCTCAGCTCAAAGCAGATAATATCATACTAGTGTTGAGTTGGTTGTGGTGGTGGGCTCGCTCTTGTTACCTGCGGAGCTGCCTTGCGTCGAAAGTCTCATGGCATTGGTCGGTTGGACAGTTGGTCCCGTCCCGACAGTTGTGGTTTGGGGATGATTGTTGGCGTGGAAACCCAAGTACCACGTTGGAAGGTTTGAAGAAAATCTAACACCTTATGAAAGAATTTATGGTCGAAGCGACTCTCCGTAAGCACGCGTCATGGCGAAAAGAAACATGCCTAAGCGTTATCTTGACATACAAAGCCGCGGTGTCGTATACGGCGAGGGAATTAAAGCTATGTTGCGCCACACTATGGGTGCATCGACTATTATTTCTGCCTCATTTAATAGCAAGCGTCAAAAGTTAGGGAGTTAAGCACCTTTTTCGGTGCTCTGTCGATTCGCGATACTTTAGAGATCGCGGAAATTGGAGAGGTGTACCGTGCGAGGGACTATTTTTGTTGGAGAAAATATCGGAAATGGCCGACCATGAAAGCGTGGAAAGTGACGACAAGATGCGCAAAGTGGCGAGGAGAATGGCCGGGGGTTTGCCAACGTATAAATATGGCGGGCTAGCTTATGCTCTTTCGACTCTGAGTTCCTACGACATGCAGAGGATCACGACTACGGGAAGGCGAGTCCACGGCGCGGAAGATGTCCCGCTTCAGCCGTACGGGACGCCGAATGCGATGGAGATGTTGAGGATGTCGAGAACAGTACAAGGTTAGATCGATCAGCTGCCATTGCATCCACATTCAATTGTAGAACATATATGAACTTCTTACAACGAAATATTTTTTCAAGAATTTTAAGAATAGGTTGTATCGGACCATGTAAAGGATTATGTTGGTGAATATGGTTAGGGTGCTGAAGGATACTCCCTCTGTCTTGTAAATGTATGTTCGATTAAATACGAGTTTTAATAAAAGTGAGTAATAATTGTTAATTGTTCATTTTATAGTAAAACAAGTAAAAAAGTAAAAGAGTGTAATGAATTTTACTTGAAAATGAAAATATTTATTAATAACAATCCAAAAAAAATTGAGTATAAATTTATATTTACAATACAGACGAATAACATATAATTTATATTAATATAAATATTATATATTATATGAACTATATATATTTCAAGCGACTTAATCAAATTTATTTGTTTCGTTTAAATTTCTAAAGTAGAGTTGGTTGTGCTTGTGCATTTCAAATTCATAGATTTAAATATTTTAAATATTCTTTATATTGTATTATTTCAAATACTTTATGTAGATCCGTTAAAGATTTTAATAAGTATTTCAACAACAAAGTATTTTAAGTCAATTAGTTCAAAATTCTAAGTATTTCTAGTGTGTTCGTTTATGGGATTTTTTTCCAAACAAACACACTGCTACCTTCAAGAAGACTTACAAAGTATTTATGAGAAAACCTTTTTTCAAAAAAAAAAAAAAAAATTTAGGAAAAACAAAAGATGAATTCATTATCTAAGGGAAATGAATTCCAAATAATACAGATTGAGAAGAACAATATCATAAAAGCTTTAATTGGATCATTTTCAAAATATGGATTCTCGATATGACAACATAAAAACTTCTTCCAAGATTAGGAATATTTTTTTGCGTCGATTTCGATGGGTGTCGAGGTTTAGAGTGACGTGTCGACCTCTAAATTGAAGAGTGCTTACCATGGCCATTCGATGCATTGGGTTTGAGCCGAAACCAAGCCATCCCTCTGCAGTGAAAGTTTGAAGACGGGTTTAAAATTAATATTTAATATATTTATATATATATATATATATTAACTAATGAAAAGTAATAAATACTTACATATAGTTTAATGGTAAAATCTTTAAATTTTTTATAATTGATTGTGAGTTCAATTTTCATTTTTTTTTTTTTAAATTTCCATCCGTTGGGATAGTAAACAAGTGAAAGAGGAAGAAAAAATTGCTCCCATTGATTTAGTATCTCATGACCTTGTGCCATTTTGCCCCTTTCGAACCACGATAGCGCTGTTGCAATGGCCTTCGTTCACTCATTAATTAACTTAAAGACAAGTTATTTGAGTTTACGTACTCGTGGAATATAATTATAGTATATGACATTGCTAGAATAAAGGAAGTGACAAGTACTTAAATATCACTTGCTTAGTATATATATATATATATTTCTTGATGAATGTCATGTCAATGTACATATATACATTCTTCTTAGATGATTTGATTCCCAGCCTTAATTTCGATGAAACTTGTAAACCTCGTATTGAAGAATCTAATTAAGTAGTTTGGCATAGAGCAATGGATCTCGTGGTATGATATTATTTGCTTCGACCCCATAATCATTTCCTGAGCTTCTGATTACTCAAGTCCAGTTATGAAGAGCGTTGGGAGTGATCAGTGAGGATGAGAAAAGTTTAACTAACACTCTACATGATCACCAAGGCTGGTGACTTTTAACTCTTTCTTAGATTTTCAAAATTCTCAATTTTCTCCTAAATATTAATTATTAAGTAAGCGGTTATACATATAGGATGGAAAATATATCTTAATTTTTGATAAATTCTATATTAAATATCGAAAACCTCACTCTTTCACTCTCATATCATATCAACTGTATAATTACTTAAATTCTCCAAGAAAACTGCGCATTCACATGACCAGCATCAAGAAACATTCATGGCTTCGTCTTCTTCTTCAAATAATCCTTCTTCGTCTACTCAACCAGTAAGTTCTCTTCCTAAACTGATTGATTTGATTCGATATTACTTTCTAGCTACAATATCAGTATGCTTCCCACAACCTGTTCGTGTTTCCATATATATTTATTGGCTTTCCAGTGCATCTTGTTGGATACTTGAAATCATGTTGACGATCTTGATCTGATTCGAAAATGCCTCGTGATTCTTTAAATCTTGTTGGCATGATCGTATTGTGTACTAGTTTAATTCTTACAGTGCAATGAACCAAGCAGTGAGTGTTTTCTACATTATATTTTGCAGCAGAGAACAGACGATGACGAGCCCATTTTCTATCCTGATGACGAACCTCTGCCCTTAAATCAAGCATTTTTCATTCCAGGTTCTCGCGTACCCAGAGTTGCTGTTAAGGGCATTCCCGAGCGCCCCTTTGTCATTGCAACAGCTCCGCCAGAAAAATTTTATGTTCTTGTTCGGATAAAGGCACCATCAATGACCCAATATAGAGACCATCCCCTGCAGCGAGCTCCTATTGATCTTCTTATTGCGCTCGATTTTAGCGAAGGAATCGAAAAACCAGCATTGGATCATGTCAGAGATGCCCTGGCGTTCGTAATTGACAACTTAGAACCCTCCGACAGGCTTTCGATACTTTCATCTTGTGCCAGTCCTGAGAAAGTATTTCCCTTTCGCAGAATGTCCCAACAAGGGCAGGAAGCCGCAAAAGATACCGTTAACACACTCGTCTTCACAAAAGGTGCAACGAAGTTTGTCGATATTCTAACTGTTGCAGCTCTGGTTCTTGAGCAGAGACGATACCTGAATCCGGCGGCATTCATTATACTCTTGTCCGATAGGAGAGACACTACAAACACACTGCCGCTTGCCTTGGAGAATGTTCGAGAAATGGCTATAAGTGACCTTGAGGAATTACCGATTGCAGTCTATCCTCCCCGTGAATCTTCAGATTATATCAATAATTACTTTGAAACACCCGTATTTCCGGTGTACGCCTTTGGCATTGGTAAGCATCACGAGCCTTTTGCGCTGCACGAAGTATGTTCGGCAACAGGTGGCACCTACTCCTACTTGGAAAACTACGAGATTCTGCGAGATGCAATCGCCTGTCGCATCGGAGCTCTGCTCAGTGTAGTCACACTACAGTTTTGTTTAACGCTCACGCGAGGCACTGCTGGGGTTAATATTCTCGACATCCACTCCGGGGACTTCTATAACAACATTTGCGAAGAGGATAAATCGATAGGTGAAATCAAAGTAAGGCACCTTTTCGCTGATGAGACGAAAGAATTTCTTATCGCAGTGAGTCTCCCGGCGCGCAGGTTGAAGCCTAAGGAGGCATGCCTTGGTTTGGTCTGGACATACAAAGATTCTGTGCTGAATGATGGGAGAGAACACCTATATTGCGACACTGTCGACATTTATCGAACATTAATCGAGCCACATCCAATGTCAAACCGTGTACACAGCGACGTTATACGGACGAGGGCATGCCTCTATTTCTCGTTGCGCATTCACGACGCCATAAGGACCTACGAAACCAAAGGGTTCATTAAAGCGAGGGAATTTTTGCGCAACCAAATATCAGAAATTAAAGAAAGTGAAAGTGTTAGCAACGAAGACAAGCTGAGTATTTGGATGCTCATACAGATACAAGAAGTAGTAAGAACAATGTTGGAAGGCAGCCGTTCGTTTAAAAATGGAGGAATTGCTGTGGCGCTATCGACTCTGAGTTCGCACGACACGCAAACGACAACCATTTTGGGTAGCGAAGTCCCCGGCACTGTAGTTCACTTGTTTCAGCCCTACGGGACGCCCAATACCATGGCTATGGTGACGAAATCGATATTACAACTACATAGTTCCACTCGTGCACACCATTAAATGTTTCTAAGCATCGAATAGTATCCAACATCGTTTTTTGGTAAACACCTTAGCTTTCTCAAAACATTATGTCATGTTCATGGTTTTTGCAACCAAAATTGTTTGTTAAAACTGATTTTGAAATCTCCAAAGAGTTCTTTTCTTCAGGCGAATTAATCCTAAATTTAATATATATGGTCATGATATCGATTAAAATATTTCAACACTTGAAATCCAAGAAATTGAAATACCTACTCACCATTAGTAAAACCAAAATTGATAAAAAAATCCATAACTACAATATAAATTCAATCTTAAGGAATATTGAATGTTTCGGAAAACAAATAAATTTTAAGGAGTGTTTGTATAGAGGAGTAGGGATAAAGAAATATAAGTATCTTGGTTGGTTTGGTATTGGTTGATGCAAACAATTAAAAATAAAATAAAATATTTATCATTCCCTAATTTTATTTATTTTCTGTGGAGAGAGAAAAATAAAATTAAAAGAGTCTAGTATGTGTTTATTATTATTTTTTTTATATTTAATTTTTACAATTTAATTTATATTTATTTGCTATGTTTTTTAATTTTTATAATTTTTATATTATTCAAATCTCATATCTAAATATTACTAAAAAAAAACTATCAAACTATAAATATAACTAAAACATACAATAATATTTTCTTTATCCAATTTATCATTTTTAGTGATTGATTTATATTTTTCAACTAGCAATACAATATATTTTCTTTGTGCATTGTATTCTATTCTTTTTTTCTCAAGTGAATTAGCAAATAAAAATAAATTCTCATTCTCTATAAAATTCATTTTCTCTACCATTTTTTTTTCTATACCAAAGACATCTTTATCAAGTGGTTTGAGCTTCACCGTAAGATGAATATCTGCTCAAAGTTAATACTACCAAAAATCGCTTTTATCAGTAAAACTCGTATAGCTTGAACTGTATAGCTTATATTAACAGAATTACGTATGGTTTGACCCCGTTCGGATACGTAGGCACCCCATGTTGGGCACAATATTTTCTGTATAGAAAAAAAAAAAAAAAAAAAAAAACTTCAACGATATAATTTGTAACAGCAGAATTACATATGGCTTGATCCCGTTAGAATACGTAGACAACCCACTTTAGCAGCAGCCTTTGCTATATAAGAGAAAAAAAAAAACACTTCCAGAAATCGCTTTACCGCTACAGGCGGAGTAAAAGTCCAAATTTCATGCAAAATACATTTTTTGCAATGCTTTTATTATGACATTTGGATGTAACATCGTACTCTTGTAACAAATAATTTTTGCGAAGCCATTTTTGGTAACAAATAAGTCTGGTAAATGCGTCCTGGATGCATGTGTGATAGTTTTTTGTTATGGTATTTGTTATATAAAGTCATTTAAACCATTACAATAATGTATAATTTTTTGTTACGAAAAAGACTAAAAAAAAAGAAGAAAATCATTACAATAAGTGATTCTTGTTGGACTTTTATTTTTGTTACGACCCAGAAAATCTGCTATGTTTATGTTTTTTACTACGAAAAGAATAACCTGTCGCTATTTTTTTTTGCATAAATACTACAAAAAGAAATTTCAGGTAGAGCAAAGGGATCGGAAATGGAGCCGTTCAGTTACAAACAACGTCTTACATCACACAAGTACAACTAAGTCGCGGTAAACGTAATAGATTACTGTCCAAAGACAGACTAATTAACACACACATACCCATCAATCGACAACAACAAATTCAACTAAAACAATTATGTTTTGATAGACGTACAAGTGAGAGCAACAACCGATATCAACAACCAAGAGTGCAAAGCGGAAGTAAGTCCCTATTAGGAAACATGTCCTAGATTCCAGAAGCAAACGGTTGTGTTAGTCATAATAAGCATGACTAAGCAAACACTTCAATTCTAGAATCGAAGTTTGTAGCTATTACAAATCAGAAGCATTAAGGATGAACGAACGTGACTACAGATTGGAATCAAATAGGGAGCCATGGCGTGATGTATGAGCTAAATCTCGTCTTCAACCTATAAGTTTTTATTTTATTATGATTGTATTCATTTGATATTAACTCACAATTTATGAGGCTTAAGTCCCTTTTAGATATACAGAGATATATCATAAAGGGGGTTTTTTGGGGTTGAAATATTATCGTCCATTAAAATATTGTATGATTGTAACGATTCTAGTGGATTTCTCATTGTCCTTCTATTTTTTAGTTTCTGCACATAGGAAGCTCGCCTAATAAATTAATAGATTATTCAATATAGAATAACTTGATTGATAGTCCAAATAGTTACGTTTAACTCACAATTAGATTTTTAATAGGCCGCTCGTACCATAGAACGGACTCTCTCAAATACAGTACTTCGGACATACATGAAGTTAGCTGAAGATTCGTGGAATGACATAGGTTGTTGTTAGATTTTCAAAGGTCTCAGTTTTCTTTTAAATATTAATTGTAGTATTTTAAAGTAAAAGTAGCAAAATCGGTTATATATATAGAGGATGGAAAAGATATAGTAATTCTTTTTAGTATTTTGATAAATTCTCTATTAAATATCGAAAGCCTCACTTTTAACTGTATAAACAAACTGCTTGGCTTCTCCAAGAAAACTGTGCATTCACAAGAACAACATCAAGAAACATTCATGGCTTCTTCTTCTTCTTCTTCATCTAATCCTTCTTCGTCTAGTCAACCAGTAAGTTCTCTTCCTAAACAGATTGATTGGATTCTGTCCAAGTGTTTGGATATTAATTTATAGCTACCCTATCAGTATGCTTTCCACAAACTGTTCATGTTTCCATAATTTTCCTTTTTTTTTAGAAATGGTTTTCCAGTGCATCTTCTTGGAAACTTGAAATCTTGTTGACGATCTTGATCTGATTCGAAAATGCCACGTGATTTTGTAATCTTGTTGGATTGATTGTATTGTGTACTAGTTTAATTTATTTCATTGCAATGTACCAAAGCAGTGAGTTTTCTCTATATTTTGCAGCAGAGAACAGACGATGGCGAGCCCCTTTTCTATCCTGACGATGAGCCTCTGCCCTTCCATGAAGCATCTTTCATTCCAGCTTATGGCTTACCCAGAGTTACTGTTACCGACATTCCCGAGCGCCCCTTTGTCATTTCAACAGTTCCGCCGGAAAAATTTAATGTTCTTCTTCAGATAAAGGCACCATCATTGTTCCAATATGGAAACCATCCCCTGCAGCGCACTCCTATTGATCTTCTTATTGCGCTCGATTTTAGCGAAGGAATCGGACAATCAGCATTGGGTCATGTCAGGGATGCCCTGAGGTTCGTAATCGACAACTTAGGCCCCTCGGACAGGCTTTCGATACTTTCGTCCTCTGCCAGGCCTGAAAAGGTTTTTCCCCTGCGCACAATGTCCGAGCAAGGACAGAAAGCGGCAAAAGATGCCGTTAACAGACTTGTCTTTGCAAAAGCTGCACCTAATTTTGTCGATCTTCTTACAGTTGCAGCTCTGGTTCTTGATCAAAGACGGTATCTCAATCCAGTGGCATTCATTATACTCTTGTCCGATAGGAGAGACACTACAAGCACACTGCCGCTTGCCTTGGAGAGTACTCGAGAAATGGCTATATGCGACCTTGAGGAATTACCGTTTGCAGTCTATCCTCCTCGCTCTGACATCAATTATATAAATAGTTACTTTGAAGCACCCGTATATCCGGTCTACGCCTTTGGAATTGGTAAACATCACGAGCCTTTTGCGCTGCACGAAGTATGTTCGGCAACAGGTGGCACTTACTCCTACTTGGAAAACTATGCGATTCTGCGGGATGCGATCGCCTGTCGCATCGGAGCCCTGCTCAGTGTAGTCAAAATACAGTTTTGTTTAACACTCTTGCGAGGCACTGCTGGGGTTAATATTCTCGACATCTACTCCGGAGACTTCTATAGCAACATTTGCGAAGAGGATAAATCGATAGGTGAAATCAAATTAAGGCACCTTTTCGCTGATGAGACGAAAGAATTTCTTATCGAAGTGACTCTCCCGGAAAACAGCTTGGAGCTTAAGGAGACATGCCTTGATTTGATCTGGACATACAAAGATTCTGTGTGGAATGATGGGAAAACACAGCTATATTATGATCATGTCGACATTCATCGAACATTAATCGCCCCCCATCCCATGACAAACCTTGTTCACAAGGAGGTTATACGGACGAGGGCATGCCTCTATTGCTCGTTGCGCATTCACGACGCCATAAGGACCTACGAAACCAAAGGGTTCATCAAAGCGAGGGAATTTTTGCGCAACCAAATATCAGAAATTAAAGAAAGTGAAAGTGTTAGCAACGAAGACAAGCTGAGTGTTTGGATGCTGATACAGATACATGAAGTAGTAAGCACAATGTTGGAAGGCAGCCGTTCGTTTAAGAATGGAGGAATTGCTATGGCGCTATCGACTCTGAGTTCGCACGACACGCAAACGACAACCATTTCGGGTAACGAAGTCCCCGGCACTGAAGTTCACTTGTTCCAGCCCTACGGGACGCCCAATACTATGGCTATGGTGAGGAAATCGATATTACAACAACAACGTAGTTCCACTCGTTTACACCATTAGATATTTCTAACCATCGAATAGTATCCAACATGGCTTTTTTGTAAACACCTTAGCTTTCTCAAAACATTATATCATGTTCATGATTTCTGCTAGCCTTCCAAAAATATTTGTTAAAACTGATTTCAAAATCTCCAAAGATTTCTTTTACTGGTTAGTCTAGTTGAACCATACAATATTCAATATATCGGTGAATTAATCCAAGAAATTAAAACAATATAAATTCAATCATAAAGTATATATAAATAAAACTACTCACATATCAAATTGGAAAACAAAATAAATTTAGGGATAAGGATATCATTGAATGTTTCTTAACAATACTTTGAAACATATAATATTTTAACCTTTTTTTTTTTTTTTTTTTCTGTTATCGTTGTTTTTCATTTTAATTCATCAGTTGCCAATAACGTTAAAAATATTTTACTTAAATAAAATTCATCGAAGATCAAAATAATTTACAACAAAAATGCCTGAGTATATTCTTCTAAACCAATAGTATCAAACAAATTATAGATGAAATTGCTTTAATTGAACTGAAACAAATATCACTCCCTACACATGAAACTGGTGTCCTTCAATACGAATCGATCCTAACCTTTAGCTGGGCATACAAAGATGCAGTGACATATAGCGATACACAAGTTCAATATTGTCATATGGTCGACATATATCGACTACTATGTTTCACTACGAGAGCAACCAAGTTAAGAGACAGAGTATATGCCTCCTTGTTGCAGAAAGCATTAACAAAGCCGTTAGTTTTTTTTTTTTGTGTTTTCTTCTCCCCATGGGTAAAAGTGAGGTACATCCTAATTAATATCCTCCTGTATATCATTCCTTCTGTTTTTTGTACCCGTAAAAAAGTAAAACGTCATTTTATATTAATATAATACAAATATAATACAGTGTCGCGTAACCGTAATCGAACCAAAAGCCAAATGGCACAACAACCGTAATCGAACCAAAAGCCAAATGGCACAACACAGGAGAACGGCGTTCAACTCAATCAAATTGTATTGCAATTTTACATCAAATAGTAACCAAGTAGTCGATATTATTAAGTAAATCGTATTCCGAAGTTAATTTCAGCAATCATAGAAAAGAACAGAACACCACCTTAATTAATTTTCAACCTGCTCCACGCCATTCAATCGAATATTGAATTCATGGTAAGTTAAACACATCACAATATATAAAAATTACCAGAGAAACAAAATCGGATCATTTTCTTCCCAACAGAATATATAGATGAATGTATCGATGAAAGAAAGAATGAAGCAATCAAAATCAAATTAACGAAGCTAACAAAACAGTAGAAGTAGAGACAAAGAGAAGACGAAAACCTATTTTAGCTAGATGCCGCTGAAGATGAGATTATCCGAGCAAAGGATATTCACTCCTTGAATCATACGGCTTCAAAATCAGACTACTCTTTCCATCGATCAAATCATAGACTATAAAATGACTGTGAGAAATAAATATAAGCTCGCTATCATTGTCCGCCAAATGCATCTTGGAACACCGATGACACAACCTCACCCACGGAATCGTCAGGTCATCGAATTCCATCCATTCTTTATCAGTTTTCTTCAACACAACACGGCATGTATCGCTGCCAATACTGCCAAAGAGCATGCAGAATTGGCCGGGCGAAGAATCAAAAAAACAATATGGATTTCCAACTCTCGTCCCCGTGTTGTAACGAAATTTATAAAACTTTTCGTCCCTTGTGTTGAAGAAATTCATTTTAATATCATAAGTTTCAGATTCTCTTTCATCGTTGAACCTTTCTCTCAGACAGATCATATGGTCTTCGAAACGGATGTTTTTAATGTCATCTTCAATTTCTATCTCCACTATCCTTCTCAATTTGTTCCAACAACAGCTTATGTTGTCGAACACTGCGTATTGCTCTGCCTTCATATCCGCGACTACTATTTTATAATCCTTGGATATTTTATCGAAAGCGATGCCATATGTGAAATTATGCAGAGACGGAAGAGGGAATCCCAAATTAATATTCTTATATGCAAAACTATGCAGAGACAGAAAAGGGAATCCCAAATTAATATTCTTCCTGGCAGATGGATTCCAGAGGATAAGAGAACAGCGTCCACGAAAATGCGTAAGAGATGAGTATTATTAGGCCATCGTGGCGGCCAATTCCGAAGCAGCATCCGAGGTCATTGCGCAATGGCTTCAATCCATCGTCTTCCAGTTTAGAGAGGCGGAATGCATTCTCAAGATGGGACCAAAAAAGAAACATATTTGGTGAGGATGATGAATTCTTGAATTGATAGAAATGTGCTACGGCAAAGTTGCAATCTGTGATGGTGTGGTTCCATGAAGTGGAGACGGATTTGATGGGAAGTCGCGTGAGGATGAGCTCTAGAACATCTTGTGAAACTGATTCCATTCTATGAATAAGAGTGAGTGATTAAAATCACTCTGATGAATAAGAGTGAGCAATTAAAATCACTTGAATACTAATAATAGCATGAGGATGAGCTCTAGAACATCGCTTAAAACTGATTTCATTCTATGAATAAGAGTGAGTGACTAAAATCACTCGAATACTAATAATAGCGTGAGAATGAGCTCTAGAACATTCCATTCTATGAATAAGAGTGAGCGATTATACATATAACATCCAATTAAATTATTAAATTAATAATTAATATGTATTATGGTTATCTTTAGCATGAAATATATTGGCCTGGTCGAGGATTTTTCATTGATTTATTTTATTTCTTTGATATCAACTCTCTAAAATTAAAAATGTGTTGAGCCGTGAGCTAACAATGTCATAAATATTTTTTTTATTAAATATTACTCCCTCCGTCCTACATATCAGGTCAACGTTGCCGTTTCTAATTTTATTTGATTAAATACTTTAATCTCATTTTAAATTTTTTAATTTAATTTTTTTAATTTTAATTAAACTAATCGGTTATCTTAATTTATAATTATTCATATTATAGGATAATTATTTTCACTAATACATTTTTAATTATCTACTAATTACACCCCTCCTAAAAAAATACCGTGTCTACAGTGTAGCAGACACGGTATATGGGACGGAGGGAGTTTTTAATAGAGTAGTTTAATAATTACCTAAACAATTTTTTAACAATATTAAATTTTTTTCAGGGGTATTTGGTATAGAGAAAGAGAAATGAAGACATATAAATGATAATGTTTCAATATCTTTTGTTTGATTGAGACAGAGAATTTAATGTTGATAAATAAACTATTTCCTATTTTCATAGTTTTATTTCTCTGTTGCATGGAGAGAAATCGTGATAAATGAAATTGAGAGAATGCAGTATGGTTATATGTTTATTTATTTTGTTTCTTATATTTAACATTTACTATTTAATTTGTGTTTATTTGCTAATTTTTTATTTTTTTTATGATTTTTAATTTATTCAAATTTTTTAAGATATATCTAAATTATTATTATAATAAATTATCAAACTAAAAATACGATAATACTTTTTCTTATCTAATTTATCATTTTTTAGTGATCGATTTATTTTTTTCAACTAGCAATACAGTATATTCTTTTCTTTTTTATATGCATTGTATTTTTTTAAAAAAAAAAAAAAAATCATTCTTTACTAAATTTTTTTTTTTATTTTGCAATTTTATTTCTTTACAATTCTATTGTATGCACCAAATGCACACTTAGAACTATTTATAAAAACCTTGTATATTCAAATATTGTTTTTAGTTTTCAAATATTGTAATGATTATACTTTCTTAGAACTTAATAAAAATAAATAAAGTATATATAACAGTTTTTTCCCAACGTTTCTAATATTAACCATATTTTATATTATTGAAGATTTTGATGGTGATCAGTACTTAAATCAAATAATTCAAAATTGGTGTCATACTCGATTATGATGTAAATAGTTTATTTTAATATATAAAAATTATTGATTTGTTTGGTTTTTATTTGATTTTTTTCTTTGAATTTAAATTTAAATAATATATTGATACGATATTTTGTGAAAAAATAATACTCCCTCTGTCCCATTGAAAAATTGTCGTTTACTTTTTGCACGTGGATTTTTTTAGTATTAGTATTATATTGGGTTGTAGGTAAAAAAATAAAAATATTCCTACTAGTATTGTGTAATATAAAAGTAATGGTATTTGTGTATTATACTGTAAATTAGAAGAATATTTATTATTTTAAGTAGGTAGTACAATTACAAAAATGATAATCCTGTTTTGGGACTAACGGAAATTAAAAATGACAATATTTCAAGGAAGAAATATATTTTTTATCAAAAACTTTTAGACTCATTAATGTTGATTAGTATTTAAAATAGAAACCAAATCGAGTATGGATTTTGGGTTAATTTGATATAAATATATATTTACTGTGACGTTTAATTTGTTTAATTTTGAATAAAATTTTGTATTTAAATATAAATAAATATAAAATTTAATATTTTTATTTTTATGGTGTGAGGCTTCATATCGCGTAAACATATATCTTATTTATTTTTATTTAATATGTTGCATTAAAATTTATCTGATAAAATTTATATAGTATTAACATTTATTATGATATGTATTTATCTGCTATAATTTTATTGTTGAAAGAATATTGGAAAAAATATATTTTATAAATAATTATTAGTATGATAATTTTAAATATATATATATATAAAAGATTTATAAAATTTCAAAAATTAAGCATAATTAAAATAATTTATTCAATATTATCTGGATAACAATAGTTATGATTCCATTTTTTGTTGAAGCTTGTTTATGGTAGATTTTACGTGGATTCTAGATAACTCTATCTAATTATTATGTAGTAGGAGTATTACAAATCTATTTAATATTAATATAAAAATTGTTGGATAATCGGTTATTTTGCAATCAATTATTTTGTGAGTAAGAATGCACGGCCGGTGTACCAAATTAATATAATTAATTTGAAAGAATTATTTATTTTGCAGCAGAGAAGAGGAGATTTGATT